ATCGATCGGACAAACGGTCGGTAAATGTAAATACCCGTTTTCAGCTGTTGCATAGGCGTGCTCGTGGTCTTAAGAGCGATATCCATGGTTAGAAACTGGCTTAAAACGACTTCAAGGTTCTCTTTCTCAGTTTTAAATATTTTTTTATAAAATTTGGTATACCTACTAAGCAAATGATAGAGAATCCCGCTGTAGAGCCCGAATTCAGAAATACTTATTTTTTAATTTTTTCTATACAAATTATGAAAATTATTGCAAAAAGGAGTCTTTACCGGGAATTGTTATATAAAAATCAGCTAATTTTTTCCAATACACGTTTTTGTCTAACGCGTATATTTTTTGAAAACCTTGAATTACGAAATCTGAGAAAATCTGTCAAGATTCAAATCCATATTAATTGATTTGGCAACAAGGCGGCGGACGTTGGCGGTGCATGCAGTACCGGAAAATTAGGATAAAAGTATTTAGGTAGTCATTTAAGTCGCTTAGGATGAAATTATTAAAAAAACCTTACTCTTTTTAGTTCAAGTGTAGGTGTTTTCGTTTCGTATTTAGTTAATGTGTTTATATGAACTTTTGTGTGTAAGCTGAGTTATACTAGTTTGTCGTAAAAATCGGAAAACTTTCGGAAATGCCGAAAATTATATTTCCATTTTGACGAAAATCTATAAAATATCGTGCAAGATTACTTAGAAAAAGACACACACTATCACCTCTTATTCCAGTCCAGTTCAGTTCCTGCCCTTTTAAGCATAAAAGTCAAAATATATGGGAAATTAATATACTAAGTATGGAACAGAAAAAGAACCTTTAGCTTTAAAGCAATATTCACAAATTTAAAGCGGATGTCCAATAATTGTGGTTTATTTGAGGATTCTGAATGTGGTTTTTAGGTCCCGACGGTTTACTAGGAACCGATAGTATCATCGAAATTAAATATCTTGCTTCAAAACTGACTACGAAAAAATCAAGGGTTTGCAACATAATAAAATTTGCAATTATTAATGATGGCAAAATGCAATTAAATCAAAATCATAATTGTTATTATTACCAGGTTCAGGGGCAACTTCACGTAACTAAACGAAGTATTTGTTTTTTTATTATTTTGATACCTTTAGGTATGTTTGTAGAAAAAATAAAAAAAGATGATAGATTTTGGTGTATATGGAAAGCAAACTATAGCAATTTTATTTAGATTGTAGATCTTAGATCCACGTTTCGCTAGAGGTTTAGATTTTAGAAATCCCAGTAGAAATCCGAGTAGAAAACCGAGTAGAAAACCGAGTAGAAATCCGACCAATAGTCAATAAAGATGATTATTTTTATTTCTTCTTTTACTAATAATAAATCATTTTACTCAATGTTATTTTTATATATTTTTAGTACTGGAAAACAAATTTTTCTACACCCAAATGGATATTAGCTTATCTACGTACAGAATACAAAACGAAAAAATATGATATTGCGTAAAATGAGTTATACTAGTGTAGAATCGATAAATAATAGCATTTCTATGTTTATTTGATCTATATTTAGAAATAAATAATTATAAATTTTAATAAAACTATATGAAATCCATTTAATTTAAATTCACTCTTGTTACACAAATTACTATTTTCTACACCCACATGGATATGATTTCTCCTATACCCACATGGTTATTAGCTAATCTACGCACATACTACAAAACAGAAAAGTATTCCATTGCGTTCAACTGAATATTTCATATCCATTCTACCTAGTAAGAACACTGCAAAACAGTTAAATCCACCATTTAGCTTATATTTTGGTCACCCGGTTACTATTATTTTTTAAATTTTATGTAAGTAACAATTCTGTCAAACTAACTGTCAGTATATTTTTGAATTATTGAGATTCAATATACTGTCATGAAATTCCTAATCCGACCCTGTGTCTAAAGCAAGCGCGACCTTCAGCTGGCTCCGACTCATGCTCGAGGCGACGGAATGTTCTGGGAATGCCGCTGAGGCTCGAGAAACAGGTAGAGTGTGTCGTTGAGTCAGAGATGAAATTTTCGGGACCGTCTAGAGACTTCTAGTAGCAGAGTTGGACTTAATATAAATAGCCCGACTCATCGTCGGGCTGTTTAGTTTAGTACAGAGTATTGGAATGAAAAGTTAAATTTTAATAAATAATTTAGAATTGTTAGTCAGTGTCTAAGTATTATATAAATTAATTAGTACGTCTGAAATAAATTGTAAATAGTGTGTTTTAAATAAATAACCTATAAAATAAATTAGACTATGGTTACAATATGTAAAAATGAATATTTCTTATGTATAATCGATAAGTAATAGCATTTCTATTTTTATTTCGTCCAAATTTACAAACAAATCTTACATTTTAATTAAACCATATAAAACTAATTTAATTACAAGTATTAGAACTAAAATGGCAATTGTGGCGATGGCGCGAGGGCACGGATGAGTTTGTCTCCAAGCAAGAGGCCTGAGTTTAAATCAGGGCTGGGGACTAATTAAATTATTTATTTTATTTTATAAATTAGTAAAAGTCATACATTATTTTAAAATTATTTATTTTGTCTTAATAACATACTTTTTTAAATTTGTAGAATTTCGTTAGTGTGTCGTAGAAAAAATATACTGTATAACTCGAGTAGATTGTCCGTATTGCAGACGATTCACCACTCCGTCTACTACGTCGTTCTCAAACTTCGTCTTCGTGCGATATGGCCATCATATCCAATTTTGTTGCACAAACTACTATTCACGCACAGACTACAAAATGAAAAAATATACTATTGCGTTCAACTCGACGAATATATTTAATATCCATTTGAGGTAGTGAGAGCACTGCAAAAAAAATGAAATCCACCAATCACAGTTTATATATTGGACACCCACTACTATTATTTTAAACATTTTAAATAAGTGGCAATTCTGTCAAACTAATTATCAGTATATTTTTTAGGTATTGAGATTAAATATACATTAAAATATTTAAAATGAGTTATTTTTGAGTAGAATCCATAAATAATTTTAATTTATTTTTATTTGGACCACATTTTAAAAAATCTTAAATTTGAATCAAACTACTTATATGAAACTAATTTAATTACTATTAGAACTAAAATGCCAAATGTAGAAGTGAAAATGAGGATACGGCATCTCTCTTTCACGCGAGAGGCCCTAGTTCAAATCTGGGCTTCAAGTTTATTTTATATCACAAATTAGTAAAGTCATAAATTATTTTAAAATTAGTTAAAATAATACTTTAAATTTGTAGATTTTCGTTAGTGGGTCGTAGAAAAAAACATACTGTACAACTCCAGTGGATTGTCCACTGTTGTTGCACAAACTAGTATTAAATGGTTTATTATTTAAAAAACGTATTTTATACAGGGTATTTGTAAATAAGTACGAAAGATTTTTGCAAATTGTTATTAAAGTTCCTATAAAAGTAGGTCGAAATATGCTTCGTTTCCGGGATACAGAACGTTTAAATTTTAATTTATTAAATTTTATTAATTATTTCAAATAGTTTTAAAGATATTTAC